CCACACTGTTGGTGGGAGTGTAAGCTAGTTCAGCCTCTGTGGAAATCAGTGTGGCAATTTCTCAAAGGACGGAAAATTGTGCTTCCATATGATCCAGCAATCTCTTCTCTGGGAATATACCCAAAGGAACAGAAATCGCTCTACCAAAAAGACACCTTCAGAAACCGTTTAACTTGGACTGCAGAAACCCTGCAGCCTTGCCTCTGCAGCATGTGGGCAAATCCCCTCGCCACCGGTTCCTGATGCTTTGCCTCCCGTGGGTGTTCATGGTTTGTGGTGTGTTCGCCTCGCTGGTGTCTTAGTTGCCAGTAAATAAAGGCCCTCAAGCCCACGGACGCTCCATTCTCCAGAAGACTATCGAAGAAGCCAGTCTCGGGGGGCCAAGGCCCGCTCTGTGTAGGGCAACCAGGTGAGTCAGGGAGGCAGCAAAGAGTGAACTGGGGAGGCTCAGGTCTCTGATATACTGGCTCATAGCTCTGATTCCAAACACAGAAGTAGTGTGGAGTCCACCATTGAACCCTCTTCTCCTCATAAAATAAGACTTCCAAGATGTTTATTGGAACTTCCATGAACATCTCTAAGGTTTGGTGTCTGGTGGGGTGGGTAAGCCCAGAGAGAGACAGGGAGCTAATGGTAAAAATTAATTTACTTAGAGAACTAGCAGTTGTCAGTAAAATATTGGTGCCCTGTTGACTTTAGAGATAAAAAGAGCGACCATTATTGATTTCTGGCAAATTCAGATAAGGCAACAAACACCCAAACTCCCAGATTCTCTGCTCAGGAAGTTGCAAAGAGCCTGGCTTCCCTGGTCAGCTGTAACATTCTTAATTAAGAAAATATCACCTTCACCACCCATAAGAATGTACTAAGTGACCCCTTGCATGCATCATTTCGCATTTAGTATGTTTGCTTGAGAGGAGTGAAGGAAGGCGGGGGCCCTTCAGAATCGAGCATTTCTTTTTTTGTTTTGTTTTATTTTGAGTTGGAGTCTCACTCTGTCACCCAGGCTGGAGCTCAGTGGCCTGCTCATGGCCACCGCAGCCTCAACCTCCTGGGCTCAGGTGATCTGCCTCAGTCTTCCTAGAAGTTAGAACTACAGGCACATGCCACCATGTCCAGCTAATATTTTTGTTTTTGTAGAGACAAGGTCTTGACAAGTCGCTCAGGCTGGTCTCGAACCCCTGGACTCAGGCAATCCTCTCACAACATCTATATAATTGCTTTCTCTCACTTGCCTCTGTAGATAACACTAATGCTTTGCCAATTCAAATGCACTGCACAGAAGACATATCTTACAGCAAAATCTCAAGGGCAAAGACAAAAAATAATAAACATGACGAAAACACAGTAGGAAAAAACCCAAATCCTATGAATCTGACTGAAGATCTGAAATGCATTCTTCCAACAGATGACATAATCTGCTATCAAAATGTCCGGGATAGACAATGGTTTTAAGTGAAGTTGGGAGAAAAAATTTAGTTTAAAAAAGAGTAAAATCTTCATGTAAATTATTTTTTAAAAGGTAAAATATTTACAAACTTGCTTATATTGGCAACAGATCCAGATGGTACTTAAAAGTCAGTTTCCCACCAGGCTCGGTGGCTGAGCCTGTAATCCCGCGCCTTTGGGAGGCTGAGGTGAGTGGATTGCCTGAGCCTGCGGGTTCGAGACCCGCCTGGGCAGCAAGACCTCATCTCTACAATAAATCCAAAAATCAGCCGGGCGTGGTAGCACATGCCTGTAATTCCAGCTACTTGAAAGGCTGAGGAGGAAAGATCGCTGGAGCCCAGCAGGTCGAGGCTGCGGTGGCCAGGAGCGACCACTGCACTCCAGCCTGGGCGACAGAGTAAGACTCCAACTAAAAAAAAAAAAAAAAAAAGTCAGTTTCCCAGATGACCTACAACCTGAAAAAGTTTGCAATGCACCGTAGCTTCTCTGGACTGTGAAGAAAACTTACAAAGGGGGACATCCCACCCAAAACAATGGAATTGTCTTTTGAGGGGTGGGCCCCCTGTAGCACAGGCTTCCCCGACTAGGTAAGTGTTCTAGAAACCCATCAGCATTGGTGTCCCCGCTAGCATTGTTGTGAAAGGCTGTGTTTGGCTTCAGTGAAATTTTTAAAAGATTCTCTCAACGCATTTGCCCATTTCATGACATGTGATTTACATAAACAACCTGCCGACACTGTTCTGAGTGCTCAGCAGTTTTGGGCCCAAAACAGCATGACTCCCATACTCCATCCTCCCTATTCACCCATTCTCACCCTACTTTTTCTTTCCCATATGGAAAAAGTCCTCAAAGGGAAACATTTTATCCCTATGAAAGAAGTGAAACAAAAATCAGCAGAAGCACTAAAAGGCATCCAAATGGATGAGTTCAAAAACTGTTTTGAGCAGTGAAAAAAGCATCTCAATAGGTGCATTGCATCAGAGAGTCTTTTGAAGGTGTCTGAAGTGTAAACGTGTAAGAATACACAATTTTTTATAAATAAATTCTGGGTTTTTTAAGTCCCCCCTCATACAGACAGAACTAGATAAGTTTGGGAAGTATAAAAATGCCAGACTAGAAAACTCACTCCTGAATGCCAACAGATGCGTGTCCTTGTAACAAAACCAGACCCAGGCACATTTGTCTGCTCGGTTAAGCTTTCTTGGCTCGGGATGCTGGAAAGTAAGATATTTTTTGTGTTTGTGACATTTTGTGAGAGGGCATTCCTGAGTAGGACTTGCATGTAGAGCTATGAATCTCATAACAGGGGAAAGAATACCAGAAATAGAATTTTCAAGGGGCTTTGTCCAAAGAAACGCCCTCTCTCATGTCCCTTCCCAGGGAAACCGGCAGGGGGCAGCACTGGCCAAAATGGGACCACATGGAATCCCATGGGCTGCATGGTGGTCCCCCTGAGGAGGGAAAGTTAAGAACTAAAGAGCTCAGAATTACTGAGCTCGGTGGCTCAGCCTGTAATCCCGCGCCTTTGGGAGGCTGAGGTGAGTGGATGGCCTGAGCCCACGGGTTCGAGACCCGCCCGGGCAACTTGGCGAGACCTCATCTCTACAATAAATCAAAAATTAGTCGGGTGTGGTAGCGCGCGCCTGTAGTTCCAGCTACTCGGAAGGTTAAGGGGAAGGATCGCCAGAGTCCCAGCAGGTCGAGGCTGCGGTGCCCTGGAGCAGCCACTGCACTCCAGTCTGGGCGACAGAGTGAGACTCCAACTCAAAAAAAATAAAAAAATAAAAATAAAAAACAGAACTATTTAAACATCTCCAAAATTGAGAAAAGCAATCATGTTAAAATTTAAAAAAGAAAAAAAAAAAGTCTGACAGAACTCTCAAGCAAGTCAGAGGTCCTCTTCTTAATGCTGTGTGAATATCAGAGTAGTTTGCAGCTGTGTGGTAGTGGTTTAATTTGCAGCCTTTAGCTCTGTGGTGTCTGGCTTTAGAGTTACTTCTTGTCACCAAGCATTTTCAGCCTCCATTTTGAAAGCTGTCTAAGCTTAAAAAGTCTGCTGTCTAATTTTTAGAAAATAAGATAGTTCCTTGCATTTCTGAGTATTATGTAACCTATTTTTGCAGAAGGTACTGTTACATTAAGTGCATCTGTGTATCCTGGTTTAAAAAAATGTAATCTTTTTTAAGATTACATTTATGTCCTATACAGAAGGACATATTCTGTATAGTTTTAAAAAAAAGAATTAAAGACAGAAATGTTTTTTTTTTGTTTGTTTGTTTTTTTTGAGTTGGAGTCTCACTCTGTCACCCAGACTGGAGTGCAGTGGTCGCTC